GCGCAAATGGAGCATCTCGATTAAAGCGTGGTTTGGCATGGTGCCATCAAACGCGTTGCGGTGAACTCGTTCATACGTCCACTTTCTGAGCTGTTACCTGTTCATGAGTGAAAACCAACGGCCAAAAAAGGGGTCCCGTTTTGCGTTTTCTTGACGGATTTTTCTGCTTTTTTCGCTGCTGGCGTACCATTGAGCACCACCACGTCACACTAAACCCTTCTTGAATTTATCGTAACCGCTGCCTTTAAGCCTAGTGGGTTGAATTATTAACCCTTCGAAAACCGCCATTGTGCGTGCATCACTTGATTTCTTTTTGAATTTTTTCATCAATAGTCATCAACTCTCCAACAATTTCATATTAGTAATGAGCGCATTATTTCCGCGGACCCGATGATGTATATGGGCAGTTTTGAATCACACAAAAATGCCAAATAAACCATGAAAAACCAGTCGCCTTCGAGCGAAATTGTGGCTCACCGGCGGGGTACACTGTTGTCAAAGGGTCAATATTGGACTGTATCCGAGACTTGTTATATATACAGTTTCTTTTATGAACTTTAGGAGGTCAACTTAAGCCATTTTTGCCACAATGAAGTGGAAGTTTTTATAGGTGCTCATATTTTTCCAGTGAGGCACAATCTCTGCCACTCACACAAACTGAAGGAAGCAGCAGAAAAGTTACCTTCAGTTCCCTTCTTGATCGAGCGTTATACGAAGTGTAGTAGTTGATGTTGTCGTCCATCTCGGTCAATGGTATTTTCAAGCTCATAAAAGCCGTAATGACGAAGCTCAATGTAATGCATGTCCATGGAGCATAGCTAAAGCAACAGCAATTCACTCATCGGACAAGTATCTACGCAGCCTAACCTATCCCTAAAAATTAGAGAACTTTTGAGAGAACTCTTGAAAATCCGCAACATATTTCTTGACGTAGCATCAACCTTTGCAATTTCAGCCAACCGTCCAGCTCGTTGTCTCGCTACTTGTTATGGATATTACACCGATTTCGCGAAAAGCTCTTCGTGCCCTTAATTTTTACGAGTACTGCTTGGAATGTTCCGCAAGTCATGCTACACCAAGGATTAGCCAGAAGATGGGCGAGGGCACGCTCTCTCAAACACGGTGCACCGGCGCTTCACTCTGCTCAGCGTTGACTTTTTTATTTGAAGATGATCCACACTCCAACCACCCTGTGACTGGCAATCACGATGCTCTACCTGACGCTGTTGAAAAGGGATCTGGATAGAGTATCGATCATTTGCTAGAGCAATTCCGATGCGACAAGGAGACAGCACTGTGGCATCTCCAAAGACTTGTGAAGATCCGAAAATATAGAGTTTGGTCCCCACATGCCTTGAGCCCGATTCAGCTCCAAACACGATCTGACATCCGTTATGTTCAAGTCGACTTACTATGGATTCTTCGATTGACCATCCATCACATTTGCCGAAGATGAGGAGTGGGTACAGTGTGCTAACAAATGAACAAGCGGCGGTAGTCCAGCTCAAACGCTTCGGGAGTTCTTACTGCTTAAGTTCAACCTCGTCCAAGTAGGGCCTTCTCGGATTTTTGGTGGAACACGAGAGGAGTTAAGCTCTGGAAACCCCTACGTGTAGATGTCGCAGTCAACGCGAAAGTCAACTATCCACAGCTCGATTGCAACGCTTTTAATACGAAAGAAAAACAAGGCATGTATGACACC